ATCTCCGCAGAGGGTTGCGACGGACCGGGACAAATCGCACTCTCGCCTGCATTTCGCGCATCCGACACGCACGATCTCCGCAGAGGGTTGCGTTTCGTGGCGGTCCGGCGGCACTGCCCCCGGCCTTAAGAGAGAAAGTTAAGAAGAGCGAGAGGTGAAGATGTGAGATGTAGATGAGAGGTAAAGATGTGAGATGTAGATGTGAGGATGTGAAGATGAGCAGAGATGTAGATGTGCAGATGTGAACATGAGCAGAGATGTAGATGTGTGAAGATGAAGATGAGCAGAGATGTCGATGTGAGGATGTGAAGATGTGCAGAGATGTAGATGTGCAGTTGTGAATGTAGATGTGAAGATGAGCAGAGATGTAGGAGAGAATGTGGATGTGCAGAGGTGAAGATGTGAAGATGTAGATGAGACGTAGTTCTGCAGATGTATTTTTTATGAAGAACCCTTCGCAGACGCTCTCGGGAAAAAGCAAAAGAAAACGAAACAAAGGTTCAAAAGGAATGAAACGAAAGGAAAACGGAATCTGGATTTTTGCGAGTCGAGCACGTCACCGCGCCCTGGACTTAGGTTTTGAACTACACTCTACGCGTTGGACAATTCAGTTGACAAAAAAGAGAAAAACTTGTTTTTTAGGGGGTGGTAGGCCGCTAGTAGAGGTCCCTAGGTAGCTAGTAGAAGAGGTAGCCATTACCTACAAGTAAGCTACTAGTGTGTAACTGGACGCAGGATAGCTCACGCTTGCACGTATGATTTGGTATCTAGATGTTTAGGGAAACTTAAGCTGTATGTTCCCTGCATGCTTCAATTATGTTGGTCTGATGGTTCCACGGAAGCCAGAACATCGACAAACTTCAAGATACGGACTGCGAGGGGCAGCCTTGCACCGAAGACGCCTTACTGAGATTTGCACCATGGAAAGCCAGCGAGGCGGATTCACCACATACGTCTTGCCAAAGAGCTGCCTTGGACCACAAGTAGCGGCAGCAGGATCTACAATTCTTCGTTGTAAGGCAGTGCTGTATCAAGCTACAATCCCTCCACGTGTGTTCTGTACTAGATGCTTGATGCTTGTCATGTTGCATGGCAAACTCTATATGTCCATTACGTCTGTCTATCTGCCTATAAGCATGACGGGATATGTACTTGTGTCGCAAAGATCAAATTTTTGCGCATGTCCTATCACCGCGCTCTCAATGACGGGACTGGGTTTTGCACGGCCTCAGCCAGTCGTTGACCTTCCTTGGAAAGAAAGGGTGCTTGCTAGCATTATTGTTGCAAAACGATCTGTACAATACACATCTATTGCATCTATTGGTCTTCACCAAAGCACTGTGGAAAAGCTGTTCATGCCCAGCGGCGAGCTGTTGCCCAAAGCTCGCAAGAAGGCTCGGTTTTGCATCTTGGTGGAACGAATGTAGGTCGACTGATCGAGAAACTCGCTTTGCCCTTCCAAGCGTTGCTTCAATGCCAAAGCGTTCAAGCTGGTTGTTCTCGCCGCAGTCCCTGTAGCGTTTCGGCTTCCAAGTGGCCATCTTAACACCATGCACATCCTGGCAAAGCGAGCGGGCTCAGCGAGTGCTTCCGAACGTCTGTGAAGTATTCTGATTGCATGTCTGCTTCGTTGAAACGAGGGACTTCAACTCGAGCCTCGTGCTCGTCGCAAAACGAAACAATGTTTGTGCGTCCGAATTCTGTGAAAACACCGTGGCCGCTTGTGTGCCTGAATGTTGATCTGCATGACAAAGTATCTTCGACGATGCGACTCTGCCTAACCCGCTGGTCCAGACTTTTGGGCTCTCAAGGCTGTGGGCTGTGGCATGAACAATAGTAGCGTCCTTGCTCCTAGTAGCGATGCCCGTTGCTCCTAGTAGTTTCTTGTTCCTAGCACAGTAGTAAGGCCAGGAGCTACTAGTAGCGTCCTTGCTCCTAGTAGCGATGCCCTTTGCTCCTAGTACCTTCTTGTTCCTAGCACAGTAGTAAGGCCAGGAGCTACTAGCGATGCCCTTTGCTCCTAGTAGCGATGCCCTTTGTTCCTAGTAGCTTCTTGTTCCTAGTCGTAAGGCCAGGCTACTAGTAGCATCCTTGCTCCTAAAAGGCACCTCACAGTACTGCCAAGCACACTCATTGACAAAGTTGAACCAAAGCTCCAACTTGGCCTGGCATTTGATGCATGCACCATCCCACAGAACATTCATGAACTGTGCAGGATTGAGTTGCATTCTCTTTGCTCAACACATGCAAGTTTGAATTGCCTCAGAGACAATCTCCATCAGCCGGTTCACATTGTAGGCACAAAGCCGGGAAATGAAGACGGGATCCTCGCCAACTGCAAGTAGCAGCTGGTACTGCATTCCAATCAAGTCATGAGTGAGTCTTGAGTTATTGTCAAACATAATGTTGACTAAATCTCTAAATTAAATACAGTGCTGAAGGCGATGAAATAAAACAAGCTGTGCCTGCAAGGCATTTTCTGAAATATCTTACCGATAGAAGGGGTGGGACCAAACATGGACCTGCCAGAGTCTTGCAGTGTTGATGGCAGCTTCCATTTGCCAAAAACTTGTTCCGCACAAACTAGAACCTGGACACACCAAGTTATTGAGAATCGCATGTGACTTTCTGAGAGTCTAAGAAATCCACAGTGCGTTGGATGCTCCGAAGCAAGCGACGAAGACTTCTTGTGTATGTATTTTCAACCTGAATGCTCCAACTCACAAACAACATGTTTTCGCAACCCGGTCGGTCCCCGAATCGGGTGCAGCAGTGGTAGGCAGCAACCTTAGGAACTTCCAGATCTGCAGACCACGCAGACTACGGTGTTTGGGCATGACTGGCTCAGGCTGTGTCTTCCCTCACCACCCCCTTTCTAGCCACACTCAGTAGCTAGAACGCCATTTGTGATTTTGTTCTCTGTCTTCCTTTGGCTTTTTTTCGGCCTATTCCTGTCTTCTGGTCATCCTTTTCTTGTTTCCTCCGACCACTATGCCTTTCTTTGTTCCTTTTCTTCTTCCTTTCTATCATTGAAACTCGTGTGCTGCAAAAAGAAGTGCCCAACCGCCTCCCCCGTCCACTGTACCTGCACCCAATGTTACTGATAGTCCTCTTTCTCGGGGAGGTGACATTACAAGCAAGTATTGTAGCAGGTGACACAGCCCAGAAGCCTGTCACTTCTGGTTGCTTGACAGATACTCATTGGAGCTCAAAAGGCAGCAATCCCTTGACCTCCATAATGCCATGATCAACCCCCTCCAGACCTGATATGCTGTTTGACAATACGATTGACCTCAACAGCTTGATACTCTGAAAGAAAAAAGAAAGTTGCAAAACTGGGGCACGCACAAAGCATTGGTTGATCGCGTCCACTTCCTCCCAGCAGAAGTTGGATCCCGGTTGCTGCAGGTTCTGCAGCCATTACTGTAGGAGCATTAAAAAACTGCATTGTTTTTGTCTGTCCCTTCCTGAAGTTTTTGCACACTCGGCTTTTTGTATTTTTGAATTGCACCATACTTGCTCCTAGCAAAAAGCATTACAAAAGGCAGGCAATTCCACGAAGCAGTTGCAAAAGAGCAAAAGGTAGTGAGAAGTTTCAGCACCATGCTGAAGAAACCTTCTCGAATTGGAAGCACAAGAGAAATGCTTCAAATAGCAGAGAACAACAATAAAATTGAAGACGAGTGAAGCCAAAGTGTGTCAACGGGGAGCAAAAAACAAAGCAGGCAAAGAAAGGAAAGGAAACAAGGAAGACAGTAAGACACAGTAGGAAGAAAGGAGAAGAATGAAGAAGACGAAAGAAACGATTTCGCAAGGTCAGCAAGGTTTTGGGCATTGATCAGCGTTTCTTGAAGCGGGGGAAGAGAAAATTCAGAACGCAGTCCACTATTTACAAATAAACATGGCCGGGTCTTAGGTAGACTGTAAAGCAAGCCAAGCAAGAATTTGTCTAAGGATCGTCAGAAAGCTTGAAAAGAGAGATCCGTCTTTCTCCCTCTCTCCCTCCTTCATTCCTTTAAAACCCCTTGAGCTGCTGAAGTGCTGACTTGCGAACAACCAGAAAAGATACAAGAATGTCTAAAAGAGACAGAAAAAGTATGTAAGAAAAGGACGTTCATTCAAATGCGACACACGTCCTTTGCATGCTTCATTTCATGTGAGTTGTGAGAACATGCTCTCAAAAAACATTCTAGAACGTGACATGAAAATGACTTTGCATGTGTCCGAGTCAACTACGTCAAAGACCCTGAATAGACAAAGCCTGACAACTACTCCGTTGTGAACGCAAATCCCTTCATGCTCAAAGTGACAAAATATTGCTCTACCAGTGCTTTACCAAGACTCAAGAGACAAAACAAGAGATGTAATATATACCTCATTCCAGAGAGGAATGGGATACTTGGATGTAGTTTGTGACCTGAAACATGTTGACTGGTTCCAAGCTTCCCACAAGGAGTTAAACTACCAACATGTAAGCAAAAAGGAACCTAAAAGCAATGGCCTCCAACCTAAGAGCGATGGCCTCCAACCTCAGAGCGAATGTCTCCGACCTAAGAGCGATGGCCTCCAACCTAAGAGTGATGGTCTCCGACCTAAGACCGATGGCCTCCAACCTAAGAGCGATGGCCTCCAACCTAAGAGCCATGGTCTCCGACCTAAGAGCGATGGCCTCCAACAAAAGAGCGATGGCCTCCAACCTAAGAGTGCTGGCCTCTAACCTAAGAGCGATGGCCTCCAACCTACTAGCGATGGCCTCCAACCTACTAGCGATGGCCTCCAACCTACTAGCGATGGCCTCCAACCTAAGAGCGATGGCCTCCGACCTCAGAGCGATGGTCTCCGACCTAAGAGCGATGGCCTCCAACCTAAGAGTGATGGTCTCCGACCTAAGAGCGATGGCCTCCAACCTAACAGCTATGGCCTCCAAACTACTAGCAATGGTCCAACCTATTTGCCCTATTTGCAACCGTTCTTGTCCTCCTGGGAGAGATCGCTGGGTGCCTCGGCCAGTGCAATCACTTGTGCAACATTTGTGCCAACTGAAGACTCCAGAAAGGATTGAAAATTAAGCGACTTATCTGTCCAGCACGCAACCAAGCGTCTTAAAATACTGTCACCACGTGTTTTG